CTTGACCGAGTGTTGGCGTGCGATTTTTACAAGAATGACACCCAGCTCTGATGATGTCCATCATATGATGGACAAAAGCTTAGCACGTTTTCACTTAAAACGAGTGAGGAAGTCTCGTAAACTGCGTCAACATGAATATCGTAAAAGATCCATACAGTTGCAGTACAACGAGTTTCATCCGTCCTCATCTGGTGAGATCGACCAACCAATCTCTTCTTCATGCACTATCATACGAAATGAAGGTCCCCTCAACAATGCTATCTCAGGAGATTCATCGAAACCCAGTTTCTCTTCATATCTAGTCTCTTACTATCCATTCTAAGAATTTCATTTAGGATATAAACAGATTTTGTTAAGAATTTTGTAAAACTGTATTTTATTCTCGTTCTTCATATATACATGAGAATATTTCAAAATTAAGTCGAGACTAGAAGAAAAATATATGTATAGCTTCTATAGAAAATACATGTAAAGCCATAAATGTCGATAATTGACAAGGCTATACTTAAACTTTACCATTTTAGCCTAAAATTCGTTTTACTACAGTTCACCTTTCTATTAAAATTGCGATAATTTTCACTTAGTCTGAGTGATCGATATTAGATAAGATAAATCTTTTAGTCTAGTCTTGTCTATTCAGGGAGCTACTAAACATTCTTTAGCTCTAGCGGATATTTTGCTTTAATTCGTTATTATTGTATTATGCTGATTCATACTGAGTACTAGGGCTTAGCAAATAACTTTTAACTTGCTTTGGGATTAACCCATTAGAGAACTTATCTTTTGAAAGTTTAGTAACTATTTAATAAAAGTTAATAATAATTATGTAAGTAAAGAAAGCGTTTTACTTAATATATTAGTATAGACAGTATTTGCTCAAAATGAGAATAACTATCTAATGAATACTTCCTTACTTATTTTAGGTAAATATATAAAAATAAGCGATCTATAAAAGTAAAAGAAAATGCAAGTTCAAAGAGGGAAAGCTAGTTACATTAAATATAAAACGTTGACTAAAATAAAAAAAGTAACATCTTTTGGCCTTAACAGCAACGAATTTTAATAAATTCAAATTAACTTAGACTAAATTATAACCTATCTGTTATTTCCTCCTTAAAATCCTTATTAAATTCGGCATAACGTTACGTTTTTATATTTATTATTATTTACAAGTATATGACAGAAAGCTTCCATATTAACTTCAAAATATCAATTTTTACCAATAGGATATGTGCTTCCAATTGAAGCCCAATTAGCCCATTAATTTTATGCATGATATTCATGCTTACATGTAGGCTATTAATGAAAGCTCACTAAAGATCTAATGTAAAGTTGGAGGGGCATTTGATGTTGGCTAATGAGTTCAGTGTTATTCACGTATATAAGTAAAGTTATCATTCAAAGTATACCGGAAATTTTCTTTTCAATACTTAGTGCACAAACAACCTGGTTTATATCTTTTTTATGAGTATTCACATGAACTTTACGACGCCTCGGAATATTAGCATTACATTAAATGCAACTTCAGGTGTGAAGTCGTCTAATTTCATAAAAACGTTTCACTGCTTAATGTATCAAGAAACGATATCTATGTAGTTATCTATAAATAGCAAATGCAAGAAATATACTCATAATCAGAGACTAAATTTAGAATTTATTTAGCCTAAGATAGAAGTAACTTGAATAAAGATATATGTCTTAATGTCTAGTTGCTAGTCGAAAATAATCGCCAATTTTTATTTTGAGTAGTATTATTATTTAACGAATAACACATAATTTAATTCAAAGTATAGGCGTTTTTTCATCAATACACACGGCCTGTAAGCCTACAGCCAATTTGCTACCATGAAAGGTTAAGTGTGTATATTCTTTAGCTTAGCTCAAGAGCAATATTCAAATTAAATTAAATCGCAAATAATCATGAGTAGCTCAATTATATAACACACATAGCTCTATAACAATCATCGATAAAAGAGTTTTTAATTATTCAAATGCAGGACCAATAGGCTTCCGATAGTATTATGTTAGTTGAGACTGAATTCTTAAAAGGAAATTGCCGATTCCTTTTGAGTATTGTCTTGTGATTCAATTTGTTAGCGCTATATTTGTAAAAAGAATTTACTCATTTATAAAGCTGTATAATGCAGAAATTTTGGAGTATATGGATTTTTGGTGTCTACCAATAATAATAATACTAATAATAATAATAATAATAATAATAATAATAATAAATATTACTCAATAGCTTTTCTAATCGATATTTAATATTAGTCTTATTCCTCAATTGTAATTTATTTTAAATGATAAATGTACTGATAAACTTGAATGGATATATTTATTTCGCGTTTTAGGTATGGGCATTTGAATTATAGCTATATGATAGGCTAGAATAGTTGTGTTACTTTTTTCTATTTTGTAAAGCTTTGCTGTAAAGCTAAATAATTATTTTGAGACTTTCATTTCGTATGCAAGTGCTATCGAATATATGTGTTGGCTGATCTCAGCAGAAGTTGAAGACCGATTTCCGGTCATCCTTAGAGCTGCTTCAAGACAGTTCATCATAGGATTGATGAATGCTCTGCCAAGTTTCATCCGAAATGAGGGAAGACGTCTTGTGGAATGTGTTAACTTGAATTTCATATTAAAACCAAATAGCTGCTCCTAATAAGATTCACTATAGACTAACATGTGAAATTAAAGCTACAACATTCGTTTTAGCCTAAGACAGTAATCAAAACCCAGATACTATTCTTGTTTTCAAATTTAAAATATTTGCACATATCTCAATTAGGCACAGTGCTCTTCTCCAGAAGTCAGGATAAATAATTTATTTATATTCATCCATTTAGGGCTAAAGTCTTAAAATGTTATTCATATGCAAAACTATTTTAGTATGTGCTTCGAATTTTCATTTACATTGATATCTTAATAGTCTATTATGCATTACTTGGAGAATGTTAAAAAATCACTGGACTAAACAAAGTGTAAAAGTGAGACAAATTAATTATCTGAAAAAGGTGTAAAGTGCACTCACCTCATTTCTATTTTTAAAGAATTTTCTGCCCATGCAAGCAATTTTTATGGCAACCAAAACTACGAAAAGACATGTTATCGCGATGCTCATCAAATGTAGAATCTCGGAGGCCTTGTGCAACGTTCCTCCTCCTTGTTGTTGCACTGTGTCATCTAATGGCAAAATATACTTTGTCACATCCGTCGTGTTTGCTGTGTTGTTACTACTGCTGCTGCTTGTAACTGCGTCGTCACTACCGCCTCCAGAGTTGCTATGACTAGTTGAATGGGCTCTTGTAATGGTCGGTCCAGATGAAGAGGTTGCTGAAGCAGCAGCCGCAGTAGCAGCAGCAGTAGCAGCTGCGGCGGCTGCAACGACTCCTGAAGACGATGCATCAATTTCTCCAACAGACAAAAGAGCTAAATCCCCTCTGACTGTTGAGGCATTGGAAGACGACGGAGGCAATAGAATTTTGGTGGGAAAATTCAAGTTGGAGGTGAAATAAGAGGCATTTGAAGAGACAGGATAAATTCCAGCAGCTTGTAGTGCCAAAGTATTTCTGGCTGCTCTCTTAACTTTGTTGGTGATGGAAACACTTCTAAGTGTTAAGAAGTTAGCTTCATTCCTCAGAGAATTTAGTTGCGTCGAATTGCTCTTATGATCCGTTATGTACTTTGACCTAATTTTGTTAATATTTGCTTCTTCTTTTAGTAGACTTTTTGCATCAATTAGGCTTGCTCTACGAGTACTATTAGTGTTCTTTTTGGTCCAAGCCTCTTTAGTTGTCTTTACATTAGATAGACTCGTATCCATCTTTAGAGGCTCTGATAGACTGCTAAAGTACTCGGGAATTTTCGAACTTTGAGGTGAAAAGATTTCCGATTTACTTTTACTATATGAACCGGAAGAAGAAACGTATTCTT